CTCTTTACACATATGAAGATCCTTTCCACTGCTCTTGTTCCTCCTTCTCCTGGACCTTCTCAAGGAAAACTTGCATCACCCCCACACTCCAGACCTGCATCTTCACCCCCTACACCCACATCAACAGCAACTTCACAGCCCTCAGCACCATTTGAGTTTCAGCGGCCGAAGCTGACACCGCCACCGATGTTCTCAGGTGAGGACCCAAAGGTGGATGTGGCAGATTGGGTTGTTGCACAGAGAACCTACCTGAGTGGGTTCAAATGGGATGAGGATGTGAAGGTGTCAGCCATCCTTGCTTGCTTGGAGCGATCAGCACTGAAATGGTGCACCTCCACCTCCAGCAAGCAACGTATGGAGATGGCTGATTGGGTGCAGAGGTTGGGGTTGGCTGGATTTCTGCAGGCCCTGCAGGACCGGTTTGCAGACAAGGAGCAGGCCAAGAAGGCAGCAGACAAAATTATGCGCTTGGGCCAGAAGAAGTTTGATGGCTCCCTGTCCGAACTGTACTCCACCTTTGAGAGTCTGACATCGACTCCTGGTTGGAGATGAGTGAGCAGGATTTGCTCATTCATTTCCTAAGGGCAGCGCCTGAGCAATTCCAGCTAGCTCTTTTCTCTCAGGGCCACAAGGACTGGCGGTCCTTTGGCAGAGCAGCCCTGGACTTGGAGTCCAAACTCCATGTCCAGGAAGCACCTTCTGAAGGAAGGAAGGGACCTATATGCTCTTGTGTCAGCGCTCAAGCATTGGAAACACTTTCTCCTGGGCTGGCACTTCAAGATCTTTTCAGATCACTCCACCCTTCAGTGGATGAAGTCCCAGGGAGAGCTGAATGACAAGCTTGCTCGCTACATTCAGTTCATTGACATGTTTGACTTTGAACTGGGACACAACAAGGGCTGCTACAATCAAGTAGCAGACGCCCTTTCTCGTAGGCCTGACGCTCTTTTTCTGATCTCCTTCACTCACTCGTTTGGAGAGAGGACACGTCAGACCATTGCCCAGTTGCTGCCCTAGGATGAGATCTTTAGGCCTATCGTGAGGAATTGCCTGTGAACCAGGATATACTCTGGTTTCAGGTCTGCTGTATACATGCAGAAGAGGTGAGGGGCGCCTGTGCATTCCCCAAGACCGCAAGCTGAGGACACTTCTGATGCCAGAGTGTCATGATGCTCGTGGTCACTTTGGTGCCCGCAAATCTTATCGCAACGCTTCTTCTGGAAGGAGATGAGGAGTGACATGTTGCACTATGTGGAAACCTGTGAGTTATGCCAAAGGAACAAGGTTGTACGTCGACCTCCTCTTGGCCTACTCAAACCCCTACCTATCCCTGATGCACCTGCACAGTCAGTGTCTATTGATTTTACTGACTTGGGTAGGACTACACCACGAGGTATGCGTCAGGTCATGGTATGTGTGGACCGGTTCTCCAAATATGCGAAGTCCATCCACTTACCAGTTGAGGCTCGTGTACGAGCCGTCAAGGCGGCGTTTGCTAACAGGAGGGTTACACATCATGGACCACCCACCTCTATCGTCAGTGATAGAGATCCCCGGTTTTGCAGCAATGAATGGCAATCCTACTGCAGGGATTACCTTCATTCTCGTTTGGATATGACATCTGGTCGTCATCCTGAAGCCAATGGACAGGCTGAAGTGATGAAGCAGATTCTTTTCCAGCTGCTGCGTCCTGTGATCAGTCCTGATCAGCAGGACTGGGATCTCCATCTGGGTCGTGCACAGTTTGTCTATAACTCTACTGGCTTCGCACCCTACCGGTTACACTTGGGTCGTGAACCACGGCAGCCTCTCGATGACATCATCGACAAGGCTACCCCTACGCTGACACCTGGAACTGCAGAGTTCACCAGGCGTTACCGTGTGGACATAGAGCGCGCCCGTGCTAACCTGTTGAAAGCCCAAAAGGCGATGATTTAATAGGCAAATAAGCACAGGCGTCCTTCTACTATTCGCACAGGTGACTGGGTGTGGGTACTAAGTTCTGAGTTGTCGCGAGAGGAGGATATTTCGCCTAAGTTGCTGCCACGATACATGGATCCATGGCAGGTCTTAGATACAGTGGGAGCTGATCCATTTGGACCATCCTATACAGAGGATGTCCCTCTGCATCTACAAACCTACCCTGTCCTTCATGCATCAAAGTTGTTGCCATTCACGCCAGCTGATGCATTCCCAGATAGACCTACTTTGTTCGGTCCCCCTATCCCTGGCAAAGGGTATGAGGTATGAGGTCGAATCTGTGGAGGATGAGTCAGGTACGGGTCTAGATAAGGAGTACCTTGTGAAGTTTTTATACCAGACCGCTGGTTTACTCGCAAGGAGATTCAGAAGACAGCCAAGTCTGCCATCCTCAAATATGAGGCAGCACATAAGGGAGTACCCCTTCAGCGCTCTGCACGCCTACGCCCCTAGCTCGGAGGTCCTCGCTCCGGGGGAGGGTAGGTATGCAATGACTTGCTGTTTTTGGTCGCCTGTAGCCTCTCTCTGTCGAGGCTGTACTTTAGGTAGGACAAATTCATAATTTTGTTTGGCTGAGGGCTAACCGAGAGACCTACCTGTGAGGGAAAATCGTGAGGGACATATCTGCAAATCTGGGAAAATACAGGCCCGGTACTAACCAGATTCCCTACAGCTACCCTAACTGCATATAGCAGGCCCGGGCTACCCTAGGACAGACAGGCCCTAAGGGCCTATTCTGATAGACGGTCCTATAGCCTATAGCCGGGTCCGGTAGAGGTCGAGAGGCCGAATCAGAAACGGTACCAGTCGGTCAGTCAGTCCGGTCTAGGTCTAGGAGAGAAGTACGAGGTGTATAGAGGGAGTAGCAGAGTAGTATAGGTGGTCACATCATAGTAGAGCTTTTACATTGTTGTCACATCGACGGTAGGAGGCAAGAAGTGGGACTTTCTTTGTCAAGAGATTTCAGTGTTCCGTGTGTTCTATGTGTAATTCTGCTTTCAACTTTGTTTATATATGCTTGTCCTGCTTTCGAGTATTTTGCAGCTCCGCAAATTTGAGTTGCCATTGATTGGTTCCATGCATTTGGGTATCGGATTGTACTCCCCAACCCCACCGAGTTGTCTAAGCACTGGGGTGGTTTCGTTTCCTGTTAGAAACTGTTCTTGCACACACGTATTAGTTGTCAGTTAAGGTCGTGTGAGTGGGAGTCAATGAAGCATGATTGGGGGTGTGGATTCCAACTGTATGTTCAACCGCAATCATTTGTTAATTACCGCACTGCCATATTTTCTTTTAGCTAGCTATTATTGTTGTTATTTGATTAGCTCTTGGACAGATATTGGTGTGTCCTGATAGACACTATAAAGAGTATTAAAGACTGCTTTTCCAGCAATTCGGGTAGGCCCAGCGGAGGTCGAGTAGGCTTAGCAGGACTGGTGGCTTCCGAGAAGGTCAATAGTAGTCTGGGCCCATACCTACAGTGGGTAGGTAAGATTCAGGCCTTGAACTAGGTGCAACGATGTTGCCCCCGAAAGGTCGGCCTGGCACATCAGAGAGATAGTAGTGCCATGGCCAAAGTGAGGCCAGAGGCAGTTGCAAGAGTATATCATTCAGGCAAATTGAGTGAAACGGTATCTTACCTGGCAGTCATGCTGCTGCTCCACCCAGACGGTGAAGGTAGGTGGAGCTCCTGCTGAATGGCGGAGCTGGAGAGCAAGGAAGAAGACCTCCATGGCTATAGAGCAGTAGTAGTAGTAGTAGTAGTAGTAGTAGCGCATAGGACTAGGCTATGGAGGTAGAGGGTGAAGCACCTCATGCCAGGCTATGGAGAACGGCAGAAGAAGGGCATAGAGGATGCAGAGGGGAGAAGAAGATGAAGGGGATGAGTGAGGGGGAAGACATTTGTTTCAACTTGAATGTAATCCTTCTCCTTCTTCTTCTTCTTCTTCTTCTTCTTCTTCTTCTTCTTCTTCTTTCTATTATGCCCATTATCTCTCTCCACTTCTCTTGTTGAGTTCAGCAAGTCTTGCATTTTCTCGCATTTGAGTTTTACATTGTGAATGTCGCAGGATCGTAACACATGCAATTTCCCTTTTCCTTTCTTCTGTTTTCCTACTTACATGCTTAGGCTTTTGGGGGTTGGTAGCACATGCCTTTTAGGGTCAACCTACAAGACCAAACCTTGTCACCTGGACAAACGAGGTTAAGCAGTGGTGAGTGATTGGAGTAGGAATGTCATGAGCCTCCTCTTGCGTTCCGCATGTGATGCCGGAGCATTCGCTTGGGATAGAGAGTGAGCCCCTAAGGAGACCGGTAAACGCACACACAGGTGTCGGGGACATGTTCTACATCCGACATAATGGGCGTATGGGAGTAGCTTTGTTGTGACTCTGATTCTGAAAGGGTAATGAAGGTAGTGGGTGTGAACACTGTGGACGACTGTCTGTCTCCAGTCAGCTCTGTGTTCTACTTTTTACTACGCTTTTCTCCCCCCTCCTCCACTTCTTCTTCTTACTACTCTTTCCTCCCCCCTCCTCTACCTCTTCTTCTTCTTCTCCCCCCCCTCCTCCTCCTCCACCACCTCCTCGCCGTTTCCTCCCCCTCTTCGTCTTCTTCACCTTCTTCCTTTTCCTCTTCTTTTCCTCCTCCTCCTCTTATTCCCCTAATTTCTCCTCTTCTTCATCCTCTTCTTCATCCTCTTCCTCTTCTCTTTCTCCATTTCCTCTTCTCCCTCGTTTTCCTCCTCCTCCCTCTCCTCCTCTTCCTCTTCTTCTCCCTTCCATTCATCTTCTTCTTCCTCCTTTTCTTCCTCCTTTTCTTCCTCCTCTTCCTTTTCTTCTTCTTTTTCCTCCTGTCCTCCTGTTCTTCCTCCTCTTCCTTCTCTTCTTATTCCCCCTCTTCAGCCTCCCGAAGGAGCAGGAGGAGGAGGAGGAAAGGACAAGGACAAGGACGAGGAGGAGGAGGAGGGGGAGGGGAGGAGGAGGAAGAGCAGAAGGACATTATAGTAAGGCCAAGCGCACCAGTTACCAAGCACAGCAATTGAAAACTTTGCAACCGCAGCTCGGACCAAGGCACACTCAAATACGGAAGGGCTGCATAGCATCATAAGAAGCAACCACAGCAAACATCAACGCCAGGTCAATATATGAGCCAACCTGAAAACATCCCCGCATTTTCAGAAGCAAGAAAGAGAGGGAGTGAGCATAGAGTAAGTTGAGAGAGAGAAGGGAACAAAGCAAAAGGAAGTGAGTTAGACAAATACATGGATACACATGTTAACATACAACCAAACAAGCAAGCAAGGAAAGAAGAAAAGAAGATGAAGACAATGCCTGGTTACTGGAAACAGTGGAAAGGTTTTACTGAACTCATCATATCAACTATCCAAGTACTTCGTTTTTCTTTTCTTTTTTTTGGAATGTGCTTAGATCTATTCGTGGCGAGCAGCATGTGCTGGGAACCACGCCCAGCGTCCCATCCAGAATCCCATCCAGAAATTATAAAACTATCCAAGTACTGATCTAACTTCACCAAACATATTGAAACAATAGAATGCACCTTGATCACGAACAAGATGAAAAGTTCCTCATCAAGCAATAACATGCACCTTGATCACGAACAAGATGGTAAGTACCTCAAAATCAGCAAGGTCGTTAGATCAAGCCCAACTGCAGTCAATCAGACCTCAAGAAAAACGAGCAAAAATGTGATAGGTAAAACTATTGTCAAACACTCACATGATAAAACAGAAGCTTCTGCTCTGTTATCGCTCATGATAGGGCCAAACGGTAATTGCATCTATAGTGAAATAATTGACCCATCATCTAACCACCAGATAGCTAATGACAATGGTGTAAGATGATTCAACCATCGACGTCGAATAGCTAATTTGTTTTTGTCATGTGTTATTTTATGAATTTCTGTTAGTTGAGGGAGAGCACAACTTTGAAATAACAATTTTGTATTTTGACTCAGTCCAAGCTTCTTCAAGTTAACATTATACTCTCCCTCTCCATCTCCCTCTTTTCAATGCCTACACTTCTTTCTAGCTTATTAAACCAGCACTACCTCCAAGCCTCTTTTTCCTGATGCAGATTAGCACTGTAAGTCAAAAAAACACAAACCGCCAGCGACGCACTTTTGGCTTTCTTGCCTGGCACCACCAGCCATTTGAAGCTCCAGCTAAGTCCACCAATGCAGTCCGATGAAGAAGATGAACCCCCAGCTCCAAGATGACATCATTTTTTATATCTTTCAAATAGATCAGTCCCAGAGTATTCTCCGGACCCCCCAGAGCACAGCACCTCCATATGGCCAGCTCTCAGCTCCCCAGCTATGACAGCCGTCTCCCCGGCCTACTGCTGGACAATTCGACACCTGGTGCCTCACTTCCCATCCAATCTTTCCAAACGCAGCACCGGGGATTGACAACCCCCTTCCATGTATCTATGCTTAGCCCCTCGCGAGCACAAGGCATGTCCAACAACCATGTGCTCTGCATCCGCAGGAACCCCACTGTTATTGACAACAGTGTCACTACAAAACTGTAATCCATAGGGATATACCTGTCACTTAGCAGTATAGGCTAACAGATCAACCAGAATTTCCCATTAGCCTCTACCAAATCCATCCCACTAAAATGGGTGCTTCCTTTCCTCTTGGAGTTTCTTGTGTCAATCAGATGGTGCGTGGATTTTTCAAAAGAGAGATGGAGAATAAGGTCAGTACCGTGAGTATCTAGAGGAAAATTCTGGAATGAATCCCATGTGGCATGCCAACTAAACCTCTTGACAGCACATTGGTCTTCAAGTTGTTACAGCAACCAGATTTTTGGACATCTTTGACCCATGAGTTTTAAAGGCAGATAATGCAATCCACAGATTCATGAGAGAGACAGGGTCACTTCCACAGCTGGCCAATGCCGCACATTCCCTGGAGTACTTGCACAGGCTATGAGATGGTAGCCTGAGCTGGAGCAGTTCCACATCTTAGTGAGAAGCGCCAACTCACAGAGACCTGCAGAGAGGAGGAGAAAGAAAGCAGCTATGGCTGCCCACTGGGCTGTGAGAGAAGGCAGGACCTCACTGAAGCCAGGGTGGGAGGCCGCCAGCAGGCAATAGCAGAGCGAAACTGAAGTGGTGTTTGGGCCTAGCCCAGTCCAGCGATATCGTCAAACAAGATACGCCCCTCAGCATCAAAGGCCGGGAGGGACAATGAGAAGAAAAGGAAAAAAAAACGAATGATAAAAGGAAAAGGACGGAGAAGGGAGTCTGAGCTCGGACCGCCAAGGTATACCTTAGAAAGCCCCTCAGATTAACTGACAGCAACGCTTGCAATAACTCAGCTTGAAACATGCAATAGTCGTGAGCCATAGGTCGCCACTTCGGTCTAAGGGCCGAATCAGGGGCCAAAGGCCACACCCGAGTCATGGAAAATTGCATGAACCAAGGCCTGCTTCTGTGGGTACCCGAATCATGGCCTAAAACTGGGCTTCGGAGGCCCTACGTACGACGGTTGACCGTGGAAAGTCAAAGGTCAATAGAAGCTCTGAAATTCAGGCTCACGAGTCAAAGTCAACATGGACCCAGTCCAGGCCACCGATCAGACACACACACTTAGCTGTTTGCAGGTATCTGTCGAGAATCCAGTCCAAGTGGGAATCTACAACTGTATGAGATCCAGGCCATTGACTGCGGGTCAATCTGGGCCATCGTAGCCGAGAGACCAGAGGCTGGTCAACGGGAGTCAACACTATATGTTGACCCATCCCCTGCTGACCGACATTCAGTCTTGCACTTGCTGCTTGATGCTGGCTTGACACTGGCTCAACGCTGGCTCGGCGCTGGCTTGATATTGGACAACGACCCGAGACTGCTACTGCTATGCGTTGGGGCCATTCTCTGTCTCTGGCGCCAGCTCTCTTCTTGATTATGCTGGCGTGGCTCTCACCACACTGTCTACGGCATTGATGTGGTATCGGTGAGGAGGGAGAGGATCAGGGCTGTGAGGTTGGTCGAGTGTAGAAAGGAGAGCTTACCTGTTCACGATCGTGTCAACATTGAGCTCTGCTGTTGTCTTCAGAAGGAGTCTGTGCCGTGCGCGCCATGTTGAGATCTTTTCGATGTCAGTGTGTGTTGGAAGAAACTGTCTGCTGACGTGGCAAGTAGGGATGCCCAAAGCAGGAGTGGGCCAAGAGGGAGATCTATCTGCTGAAGCTGATGTTTGCTTTCTCTTCCACCCTCTCAGTCTAATCTCCCTCTCATCACTCTCTTCTCTGGGTACTTGACATTGGACTCTTGATTACATGTATGATTGGAGACATTGAAACTGAGACATTTTGTACTTCGACATTGTTGAGCTTTCCGCCTGACTGGGTTCATTGCACTCTTTCCGGAATGCACGAAAATCCCACCCTAAATTTGCCAGATGGGAAAGTCCCACCGGGATAATTTTCAAAATTTGGTTCAACTGCGGAATTTCATGCAGCACCTGTTGAAAACCCAGAGGCACAGAAACACAGCTTTGCACGAAGACACTCCAGGGTATTTTTGGTTTAAGCTCTTCTCGAACCCCCTTCCATGCATCTATGCTTAACCCCTTGTAAGCACAAGGCATGCCCAACAACCATGTGCTCTGCAACCGCAGGAATACCACTGTTACTGATGACAGTGTCATCATGAAGCTGTAATCCATAGGGATATACTTGTCGCTTAGCAGTATAGGCTAGCGGATCGACTAGAATTTCCCATTAGCCTCTACCAAAACCCATCCCACTAAAATGGGTGCCTCATCTCTGGAGTGCAGGAGTCCCATCATGAATTCTTGAATTAGCATGAAAAAGTTCAAAAACCACAAGGCATATCCCTCGGCCATTTCTTGGGTCTTTGGAATAATGGTGTGGAACAGGGTTGCATCCCTGCCAACTGCCAACCCCGACAGCTGACCGTATTGCAGCCAACCAGAAGGGCCGACCGGTCGGCGGTCTGCCGACCAGTCAGAAAACAAACATCCACTGATTTTTTGTCAAATCTGAGCTGGGGTTGTACTGCGCTTGCTGAGTTCGCAGCCCATCAGGGTTGCGTTTTCCCTGCCTGAGACATTTCAATGTCAATCGAATTTCAACGTCGGTGGTCGTCAGAGGGTGGGCATTTTGAGGTTTTGGGGCCTTGCAAGGGCCAGGACCGCGTAGGACCGGCTGCGCGTAGGAGGCCGAGGAGGCCGCAGTCCCTTTTCGAAATTGAAACGGTGCGGGTCCACTTTTCTCGAATAGCAGAGTTCCTTGAATAGAAAACGTACACGTTGTATTCGAATACAACCTGTACCCTTTCTATTCGGATTTTGAAAAGAAAAAACTCTTGTATTCCGATAAAATTACTTCTTCTTTTTGTTGGAGGTCAGCGCCTGCCCTTGTGCTCCCTGCCACTGACATGCTGTATGCTGCAGGTCTCTCTCTCTCTCTCTCTCTCTCTCTCTCTCTCT